CCCCCCACAAGGTTAGGCAAGCCACTTACCTCGAACCGGCTAAAAAATCAACTCGAAACTACGCTCTTGCCACGAGTACTTGACTCCAAGTGGCCCAAATCTACTCAAATCAATTGCATAATGCAAATATAACTTCAAGTAACTAATTCCACTAATTAATTCGAAGTTAACACGCGAAATTAAGAAAATTGCCGAAAAAGCCCTCTGGCCTACGTCTCGGAATCGGGTAAAAGTTACGAATTATGAATCCTCATTCACTCATGAGTCTAACTATACCAAAAGTATCCAAATTCGATGTCAAATCCCCAATTAAAACTCGAAAATTAGGTCTAAGAACTTTTCCAAAATTTTCCCGATTTCTCACCCCAAATCTGAAATTAGATGATGAATTCATGATTAGATTAATAGGTTATAAGCAAAAAGGAGTTAAAAATCATTACCAGCAAACTCCCTCCGAAAATCTCTCCAAAATTCGTCTCCTACCAAGCTCCCAATTCAATTTTGTAATATGAACTCAAAACCCTCGATTTTGAAGTTTATGTTCTGCCCAGACGCGTCCTTAATCGCAATCGCAGAAGCTTCCATGCGATCGCGAAGAGCAACTTCGCTGGCTCCCAGATTCACCCTATGCGAATGCGATAATCCTTACACGAACGCGATGCTTCCGTTGCTCAGCTCTACGCAATCGCGGTTGACCTCACGCGATCGCAAAGAGCAACTTCCAAACCCTCAGCTGCCTCACTTCTTCCTCTTCGCAAACACGGCGTAGCCCATACGTTCGCGATTCAACTTCTGCCATTATTACGCATTCGCACTCCCCTTCCCGCGATTGCGTAGAACAAAATCCCCTCTGCCTCATCCAAGCCTTCATGATCGCGAGCCTCCTCACGTGATCGCGATGAAGAAAAGTGTATAACAAAAACCAGCAAAAATCTAATCCTTCTCCAAGTACAAAAATGGTCCGTTGAGCATCCTAAACATACCCGAGGCCTCCGAGACCTCAACTAAACATGCCAACCAATCCTAAAACACCATTCAAACTTGTTCCAACCTTGGGAAAGCTCAAAACAACATCAAAATACCAATTTAACATCGGATTCAAGCCTTAGAACTCCAAAAACTCTCAAATTACGCTTTCGATCAAAAAGTCTATCAAACCTAGTCCGAATAACCTAAAATTTTGCAAGCACGTCACATTCAACACTACGGAGCTACTCCAACTTCCGAAATTCCATTCCGACCCCGATATCAAAATCTCACTATCGAATAGGAAACTTCAAAAATTTCAACTTTCGGCATTTCAAGCCTAAATAATCTGTGGACCTCCAAAACACAATTCGAACACGCCCCTAAGACAGAAATCACCCAACGGAGCTAACGAAATTCCATTCCGAGGCCATCTTCACACTGCTCTAACTATGGTCCAAATTCTAAAGCTTAAGCTCTCTTCTAGGGACTAAGTGTCCCAAAACACTCCGATATTCTCAACCAAACATCCCGACAAATCAAAATAGCAGAAACAAATACGGGGAAAGCAGTTAATAGGGGATCGGGGCATTAATTCTTAAAATGACCGGCGGGGTCGTTACATCCTCCTACACTTGAACATTTGTTCGTCCTCGAACGAGCATAGAGACATACCTGAAGTAGTGAAAAGATGAGGGTAACGGCTGCGCATATTCTGCTCGGTCTCCCAGGTCGCCTCCTCAACCGGCTAACCTCGCCACTGAACCTCCACTGATGCAATGTTCTTTGACATCAGCTTTTGAACCTACCTGTCCAATATAGCCATTGGCTCCTCAATATAAGATAGATCCTTATCCAACTGGACTGAACTGAAATCCAACACGTGCGACAGATCACTGTGATACTTTCGGAGCATCGAAACATCAAATACCGGATGAACTCCTGCCAAGCTGGGAGGTAAGGCAAGCTAATAAGTAACTTCCCCAATACGCCGCAATATCTCAAAAAAGGCCAATAGCAAGCTCATAAGTAACTTCCCCAATACGCCGCAATATCTCAAAAAAGGCCAATAAACCTCGGACTTAGTTTCCCTTTCTTCCCAAATCTCATAACGCCCTTCATAGGCGAAACCCGAAGCAAAACCCGCTCTCCAACCATATAGGAAATATCACGAACCTTCCGGTCCGCGTAACTCTTCTGTCTGGACTGGGCTATACGGAGTTTATCCCGAATCATCTTAACCTTCTCCAAAGCATCCTGAACGAAGTCTGTGCCCAATAATCTAGCCTCACCCGGCTCAAACCAACCCACCGGGGATCTACACCGCCTACCATATAAAGCCTCGTACGGTGCCATCTGAATGTTGGACTGATAGCTGTTGTACAGTGGCAAAAATTGATCCCAAAAACCTCCAAACTCCATCACACACGCACGGAGCATATCCTCAAGAATCTAAATAGTGCACTCGGACTGTCCGTCCGTCTAGAGGTGAAATGTTATGCTTAACTCCACCCGAGTACCTAACTCATGTTGTACGACCCTCCAAAATCGTGATGTGAACTGAGTACCTCTATCTGAAATGATGGAAACTAGAATACCATGCAGATAAAAAATCTCCCGGATATAAATCTCCGCTAATCGCTCCGAAGAATAGGTACTACACACAGGAATGAAGTGTGCGGACTTGGTTAGCCAATCCACAATCACCCAAATGGCATCAAACTTTCTCAAAGTCCGTGGGAGCCCAACTACGAACTCCATGGTGATCCGCTCCTACTTCCACTCTGGAATCTCTATCTGCTGAAGCAACCCTCCCGGTCTCTGGTGCTCTAACTTCACCTGCTGACAATTGAGGCACCGAGCTACAAACCCAACTATATCCTTCTTCATTCGCCTCCACCAATAGTGCTATCTCAAATCCTGGTACATCTTTGCGGCACCCAGATGAATAGAACACCGCGAACTATGGACCTCCTCTAGAATCAACTCCCTAAGCCCATCAACATTGGGTACACACACCCGACCCTACATCCTCTATACCCCGTCATGACCAATAGTCATATCTCTAGCATTGCCATACAGAACCTTGTCCTTGAGGACAAGCAAATGAGGGTCATCAAACTAACGCTCTCGGATACGATCAAACAAGGAAGACCGACAAACCACGCAAGCTAGAACCCGACTGGGCTCTGAAAGATCCAATCTCACAAACTGGCTGGATAAGGCCTGAACATCCATCGCCATGGGCCTCTCTGCTGTTGGTAAATAAGCCAAACTCCCCAAACTCTCTGCCCGACGACTCAAAGCATTGGCCACCACATTGGCCTTGCCTAGGTGATACAAAATAGTGATATCATAGTCCTTCAACAACTCTAACCACCTCCTCTAACGCAACTTAAGATCCTTCTGCTTGAACAGATGCTGCAAACTTCGGTGATCAGTAAAAATCTCACAAGGCACACTGTACAAATAATGACGCCAGATCTTCAAGGTGTAAACAATAGCAACTAACTCAAAATCACGGACATGATAATTCTTCTCATGTACCTTCAACTATCTGGACGTGTGGGAAATCACCCTACTGTCCTGCATCAATACTGCTCCAAGGCCAATCCTTG